AAAGTCGAATTTAGGTGGGGATTCTCGGGAGTTTCCCGAATCAAATAACAAAAACTAAACATTCGCATCACCGAGAATTAGTTTGAAGATTGTCGAAATTCAGAGATTACAATAATAATGTTTACGATAAAATGTACTTTTCGTCATACTGACAACGATAGGAATATTGTCGAGTTTTCTTGTGCATTCTTGACAATGTTAGGGCCCCCTCAATCGCGGGGCCCCGGTGCACAGCACCCGCCGCACCCCCCCGATGGCGGGCCCTGGCCGTAACTCAAACTAAACCAAACCGAGATTACCAAGCCTAATGACGGAATCTTAGGTAGAGATGTTCTCGAAAAATACGACGTTACAATCTCGATTAAGAACGCGAAGTTTAGCTTCTCGGGAGACACGGTGACCTTTTGAGGGCTAGCGTCCATAAAAATTATATTTACATTAATGATGTCTTCAAAGTTCAGCGAATTTTTCGCAAAAAAAATAATTTATCAGGAACCACGCGAGCGCCGTTCGATGACAAGCTTCATGACGAAAACAAGCTTAAGCAATGGCGCGGTGGAACGGTGCACACTCGGTAAGTAATCCTACAATTTTTTGTTTATAGCATAGTTTATATGGATTATTTCTAAAAAATTATACGTATTTTGGAAATGTTGAGTCGAATTAGTCTAGAATCGATTAATTTTATGGAAGAAACCTTTCAAACAGCCGTAGTCCGTAAACTACATACGTGCCGGGCATGGGCTTAGCCAGAGTTTTGTTATGGGGGCCAAATAGAGGCCAACCTGACACAAAATTGAATTATTTCATTATTATTATTATATATATATTTCATTGTTATTATTATTATATATTTATTATTATTTTTAGCGTTAAGTTTTTCTTTCTTTTTGCAAATCGGCTCGACACTTTTTCGGCTGTGATTTTCTGGGGGGGCACCAGGTTCACTGAAGGGGGCCGTGCCCACCCAGGCTCCTCCCTCGCTACGCCCATGGTGCCGGGCTGTGATTGGCTGGACTCGTAGAAAATGGATTCGTAAAAACCGGAACGTATCTACCGTGTTATAGGGGGGTCGACTGTACAGTCGACCCCCCTATAACACTTGATAATTCCATTTTATATGAATTCTATGTTGTACTAGTCACTTAGATTTTACAAATACGTGAGCCGTTTACAGCCTGGCACATGTATTTATAAAATCTAAGTGACTCGTACAACATGGAATTTATATAAAACGGAATTATCAACAGTGTTATGGGGTCGACTGTATACTATAATAAACCTAATGTATATGAAAGAATTTACATATATGTAAATACGTACGTAAAGTGGCAGCACTGTCGATTCGATATTTCGGCAACAAAGAACCGTTAAAATAATTAATTAAAATTAAAATAATTTACGATAAATGTAATATACTAATACTTACATACAATAAGAAATCATAGTATACTATCAAATAGTACATTAATTAGACTTAACATTAAATTAAATTAGATAAAATTGCAATTAATTTACAAATCATTGACGTAAGCAAGAAAATACGAATTTTTGAGAAAAACTACAAAGTACAAGCAAATAAAAAATATACCAAATAAAACTACACATACTTGCATATTTGCGTTATTTTTTTCATACTTCTATTGTAAAAATTTGATTTTATACGAATTTTTAAAATAATATTAGTAGATTCACCTCGATGACCTTCTCATGAAGGCTATCTTTCAAAACAGGTTTTCTCACCGGTGTATTTTCACGCCGGTGAGAAAACCTGTTTTTATTATTAAATTCTGTTTTTATTATTAATTAATATGGGATGTCTTCGGGATTCCCGAGAACTCTGAATCGGGAAGAAAATGGATCGATAAGAATTAATATATACAGTAGAGCCTCGATTAACCGACACCTCGGTTAACCGACCGTCCTAGTAGGCAAATTTCAAATGTCCGCTAGTGATGTGGCGCTACAATATTTGGCGATGTTTTGGCTACTTTAATATCATTTTTACGTATTTTAGCTGGCAACACTCATTCTACCATGAAAGGGAGCCATAATTTAAACGAGGCTTAATTTTCTAATTTTTAACGATACAATAGCGACGATTATTATTTTAAAAAATTTTCGTTAGGCTTAACATCGATGAAAATTCAACGCGAAGTAGGTTAATAGCGATATACTAATATACTAATTACATGGGATATACTAATATACTAATTACATGGGATATAATAATATACTACACTAATAATGGATATTTTCATACTTTTCGGTTATCCGACCAACCCCAGTCCCGAATTGAGTCGGATAATCGAGGCTCTACTGTACCTGTACATTATATTATGGAAATGTATAGAAATGTTAAACCATGCGTTAGAATAGGATAGATTTAAAGTGTTACAAAAAAGGAGATTTAGGATATAGGGTGGCTTTGGAATTTATCAAGGATAAGTCCATATTATTTTTTTTTATTAATATTAGGTGAATTATTGTAGTTTGCAGTGAGAAAGGAGCTACGATATATGTTATTTACAATTTATATTGTGTTTATTAACGAAGTAGAGAGAGATTAAAGTTGAGCCAAAAAGTTAGAAACAGGTTAGAGAGGGAGTAGATTTAGTTGGTTTTCAAACATAGGCTGTTAGAGGAAAAAAAGGAAATTTTAACTATTTAGACAACATATTCAAGCTATTTACATGCACATTATAACTTAGAGATAATTAGAGAATGATGAGTTAGAAGTTGCCAAATAAAATAGGTAAATGTAAGATGGCAAGAGTTCAGACAATATTATTAGATATTGACAGTGATAGTGATTAGTGATGACATAGAGTCTAAAAGAAATGTGTGAGAGATCGGACTTGAAAATAAAAAAACAGTAAAACTTTTTAGGGTGAAAAATTAATTAAAACTTGTTATAATTTTCCCCACGATTGTTAAAAGTGTAAAGGATATGATTTTATTCCTTTGTGGAGTCACTTCCCTTTCAAGATGAGACATCGAATGTGTCACCAGGAACGTGGCGACCAAAAAACTGTTATTGGTCATAGGCGCTGCAACATTGCCAAAAAAGGGCATGGGAGAAAAGAGGGAGGACCGCAACAAAAAGTAATGACTGATGACGCCAAGAGTTTGTTCATTCATCCGAAAAAGTTCGTTTGTTCGTCGTCGCTAGAAGTTCGTCCTCACCGAGTTGTCTCTCGTTGGGATAACTCCAGGACCCTCCTCCATCTATAGTGAACTCCTTTACAACGATGCCTTCAAAGAGAACTCTTTTAAATTGACTCCTTCGAAAGTAAATTCCTTCCATCCAAGATAACTCCATTTAAGTGAACACCAACAGTCCTTCGATTGGTCTCAGATAGATTCCTTACCAGGTATCTATAGAACCTTATATGTAAGCTCTCTCTCTCAACTTAGAACGCGAATTTGTTAAATCGGTTAAGTCGTAAACGCAACCTTTACTTTAAATATTAATCTTTTGAGTAATTAGTTTAATAAACGGAAATTGTTATTGTTTAATTTGTGTTTGGTGCACTTCCTCAATCCGTGCCATCTCTCGTGTCGGATCTAAGCGCCTACAAACGCGACCGCTCACGTGAACAAGACGGAAATTGCAGCCATTTAGGTTTCTGTGTCTACCTTGAAGACACAGTGGTGTCAGTCCTGATAAACTTGTCATTGCAGCCTTTGCCGACGCGATGTCGTCCCTTCGGTCCCGTGGTGCCGAAGCGGGGGGGGGGGCGCTTCGCGCATTGTCACATATGTTAGTGTTGTTTTAGGCCTAAATAACCCCGCGTTTCTTTATGCAGCGAGAATGTAGCGAAATGACGTCACGAGCAGTGACGTCATTTCGCTACATTCAGTGCAGTGTTGGCCAATTAGAGCAGTGTTGGCCAATTAGAAACCAGTTTCAGTGTGTTCGCTGTAAAGCGCTTCTCGAGCGCTGCATAAAGAAACGCGAGGTAAACAAATGACAAGTGTAATAGGCCATCAATAAATTTTCATTTATATTCTACTTTTGATAGTGCAGAATATTATATAAATTATCAAATTATGTAGCCAATAATAAGTCATAAGAAATGTAATTTCTCATTGTCAAAAATACAAAATTATTTTATCCCAAACACTATTTCTCACTATACTGAATCAAGTAAAATTGTATAGCACACTTTATGTAGTGTTAAAGTTAATAAATTACTGTATTTTTAAAATAATTTGTCTTTATCTGGATTAAATTTCTATGGCTACTTAAATGTATCAGAGGACAAGCTATGGTTTTTCTAATTATATCGTCATACATATGTAATAAAAGTGAAAAATGCAAATTTATTTACTTATTTTACCATTACCCATGTATTGAACTGATATGTTATACACAGAACATTATGTACAAAACTTTCATTCACAATACGTAGCAATATTTAAACATGTCTCTGTTTAAAACCTGGATAAAATAAATCAAAAATATAATTATTTTCGATTTATCCACATCCTGGTCTGTAATTTAAAATGTTTTCTCGTTAACAAATAAGATTTTTTTGACAGAACAGTAGAAAAAAGTTACAAAAATGCTTGAAAACAGTAGAACTACCTACTAACCAAATAGATAAACAAACAACTTCTCGCCTTAATGCGACTCTAGCGCCAGCTATCGGCTACCTGACACATTAATTAAAGCATAGCTCAAGGACCGATCGACTCTGCTTAAACGCTCGGCCATCTTACGTTTAATAATTGTATCAATAATTAAAATAAAAAATACCGGAATAAATAATTATTTTAATTTAATTGAAATCAATTAATATTCTCTAAAAGTTTAGTTTAAAAAAAATTTCATAAAATTTAAATAACACAGTTGTATTTCAATCGCCAGAGGGGGTAAAATGTCGATTGTAGAAGGAGTATGAATGTTGTTTGGTTCAATTTTCTGATTTAGAGAAATTAGATAACGGAATGGATAACACACCTACAAGTCCTAGCAATGGTAAAAGTAAAGTTACTCCCATTTTGGAGAGAATATCGCCTAGAACAATTCCAGGAGCGTTGACTAATTACAATAAAGGGGCCATTGACTGGTAAGAGTTGTACAAAAGTAATTAATTCTGTTACTTTATAACTTATTATACATCACTAGATGCTTAATTTGACTTCCCGAGTCTTGTCTGCGCTATGTAAACACATTTAATTTCATTTTACAGAGTTTAAGTGATTTATAATCTTATTTTAATAATGAAGTTGCTAAGATTACAGATCTTAAGAAGGATACAGCAAAATGGTGACATAACAATTAAGTATTGTGATGTAGCTGTGTTATGTGAGTGATTGAGTAATGTTCTTCGTGCTGAAAATGTTATGCAATCTTAAAATATCTTGTAACATATTTACAATGCTTTTTAGTGTATTTTAATATTGTCACTTGTAAATTCACTTATCATTGTATGCTTTAAGATGTTGATAGCCTTGAAAAAGTAGTATTTTCATGCATATACTGATAAGTGATGCCCTATCTGCTAGAACATGTTACTAAGTGGCACAAATGAAGTTATGAATGATGCAGTTGGGGGCCTTTAGAGCTGTAGACTGCATTCATGGGAATAAAAAAGTCAAAGGAATTATACTTCTATGTGTGACTCTTTGCAAGATACGGCCCTGCAAAATCAACTTACTTCCAGGATATCTGCAATTGGAAGTTGTGTTGTTTTGCTAAGACTGTCACATTTAACTATTTAGCCTAGGCAACTGTGCTAACTTTGAGTAGCCTACTTGACTGTTTGTGGAGTACTTGATGTTATATAGTTTTAGGGGGTGTGGGGGCTTGCCCCGTGCGGACACTGAGGTTCTCAGTATTGCTTGCACACTGGTGCAAGCAATACCGAGCAGAGCATTGGTCAAGATGAACAATGGCTAGCCTCAAAACACAGAGCATGGAATGGTAAGCTGATATGCAGTAAAAACTGACCTTTGAAGGCAATATCTCATGGTCATACATATGGGTATGGTTCCTTTGATTTTTTTGCTTGTGCAGTGGGTGGGGATTGGAAAATCCTTCATTCAAAGTTCACATCTTACTCCAAAATTACTCTCTGGAATTTTGGAGGCTCCCAAAAATGATGTAAAATTTAACAGCTGATTTTGGGAGCTATATCTTGTGAAGGATTATCTGTAGATCATCAGTTTTTTATTGCTATAAGCATGGTCTACAACTCTGAAAAGGTCCTGACCATCACATTCAGCATTGTATTTGTTCCTATATGTTAACATCTTGTTCTAAATGAGATATATAACATGTGAGTTGTGACTCCAAATAACTGAGATGATAAAGACATTACTTCAATGCTTTTAGCAACTTCAAATTTTTACAGATTTTCATGATTGATTTGATTTTGATATGTCAGGTTTCATCTTTTATCATTCTGCCAGACCCACAAATAATAGCTTCCAGCTATTCAGAATTTCAGTTATTTTTTAAAAATTATTCAGAAATGTTCTGAAAAATGAACAATAATAAATATATATATATATATATTTTTTTTTAAGCTCATCCCTTTTTCTAATGAAAAGGCGACATCCCCTAATTGAAATTTAAATTATTTTAATTTCTATTAGGTTTTTTTCTCTTCATCCTGTGTCTACTAAGAGGACATGTTTTAATCTTACCCATTGTGGGTTTGGCAGGTCCATTGTCAACATCACCTCCTAACTGAAGAGGTGGCAGGATGGTGAAGGATGGGAGCTGATATATCTGGAAAAATTTATAGTGTTGCTTACCAAGATAGGCTGACGCCTCAACTGTCTTGATCATCCAGCTGTCTCACCATCATGATAATCATCAAGGAAGGAAAAATGTTCCCAAGTTTCTAGGTTTTCTTTGCTCTTCACTTTTTTTTCAAGTTAAATTTTTTTTCCACACAATGATTCAGATTTCTTATTCTGAAAATTGGCAACTCTATCCACAGAATGATGTATGTGTGACATTGGGGCATGGTTAGATACCCTCTTAGTGTCTGCAAGACAGAATGAATAATAAAAACATCTCAAAGGGAAGCACAGCAGAATTTTGATGAGCCATAGTTTTATCAGTTATTGGATATATCTAATATCACTTCAGCGAATTTTCTTGACTTGTGCCTACAGTATTAATAAAATTATTAAATTAATATATGTAATGTTGTTATTTTCAATTATTTTAATTATATCCTCTTAATTGCATAAAATAAAATTGTCATATATACACACACGTAATTGTTTACATCAAAATATGACCACGTGGAAAATTATTACACATTAACTATTAAACTATATAAACTATTTTGTCATGTTGAAGCAAGGTTGCTCTGGAAAATGTAAAAGTATCACCACTTTTTCATAAGTTTTAAATTTTTATCGCCCTTTAAAATTATTTATCGCTATTACTTTTACTTATTAATTAATGCAGGTGCTGGTAGCCTTATCATTTTGGCATCTGGAAAGCAAAAGTAACATGTTATCTGTCATTTACAAGGACAGGTTCAGACATTTGGGTCTTTGATTCAAATGAAACATGGTAAGAACGTAGCCTTAAACACAAACAGTTTCTTGTCCAAATAATAGGATCCACTTCTCAAGCATTTCCAAAAATTGGACCTCTAAAAATTTCGTGTTTAGCTTATAAGTCTTTGTAAGTTTCACGTCCCAGAGTGGCAATAGCCGAGTGAGTAAGACACTAAGCACTGGGCTAGAGATGGTGTAGGTTAGAATCTTCAGCATTTTAGTCTAGTTTTTTTTATGTGTAACATTATTATTTTATTTTACCTTTCGTTTAAAGCTTATAAAACAAGAGATTAAAAATTGTAATGTCATTTTCTGTTTACTGAAAACAAGCCTCTGTAGATTTAACTGTTGTGTTGTTAGATAAACTTTTCTTTATATTTATTATCAGATATGGTGGTATTGTGACATTCAAAGTGTAACAAGTATGAATGCATGAGGAAATTGTTCATAATATTAACAATTAAAAAAATAAAACACTGCAACTATGCTACCCTATTTTCATATCGCTTGTCTTTTTCATCCATATGCAGTAATGTATGAAGCTTATTCACTTGTGATTGTCCAGTATGTAATCAAAAGTGAAAATAAGTGAAATAAATGTGAAGAAATAAAAGTTTTATTTAACAATGTAAGAGAAATCTACAATGGCTTGTTTTCGTTAGATAGGAAATGATGTCACAATTTTTAATCTTTTGTTTTATAACCTTTAAACATGAGGAATAATAATGCTAACGATGCAGTAAAATAATGAAGTTATGCCTAAAAAAAAGACCAAACTAAACTAAAACTCTGAAGGTTCAAACCTACATTGTCTAGCTCCAGTACCTAGTGTGTTATTCACTCAGCTATTGCTACTCTGGGATGTGAAAGTTACAGACTTAAAGCTAAACACTAAATTTTCAGAGACCCAATTTTTGGAAATGCTTGAGAATTGGATGCTATTAATTGGACAAGGAGCTGCTTGTGTTTAAGGCTACATGCTCACCAGTTTCATTTAAATTGGAGATCTGACTGTCTAGCCCTCCCCTTGTCAGCAATAGAAATCATTTTTGAATAATTTTTTAATGAATAATTCCAAACAACACATTTGATCACAATGTTTAAACAGTATTTCACAGGTTCTGTCACGTCAAAATTTTTGTTTTAGTCTACTGAAAAAAATCAAAGTGAAAAAAGTCACTCAAAAATTCCCCAAATTTTGTCAGTTGGTAAAAAATTCCAACCTGGAAATGCTGGGTGGCATTGGAAAAAATTTGCATTTGGTTCTAAACGTCACTTCCTACTTTTCTGCTCGAACTTGCCACAGAACTTGCCGACTTCCTACATGAAATCGGTAGGAGTGCATATACTTTTTTGTTACAGATGGATTGATTTGTAAGATTGGATCAGTCTTTGATTATTGATACAGATTGCTTCTGTCATGTTTTAGTTGGTGAAACGTATACAAGTAGGATCAAATCATATTTACACTGTGAATACATTTGCTCACAAAATGGGAGAGTGCATGCCATGCATCTTGCTGTACAATCTCGCAAAATTGTCTCTAAATACTTATTTTTTCATCTCAGTTTATCGGATATTTTAATAATGATGTTTTTACTTATCATTTATAAGTTTTAAGTACAGTAGTTTTTATTGTTGACAATTAAACATGTTTCTTTGCTGTCAACTATAAGCTTGACTTTAACCTTGGTTGTCACTATCTTTAATCATTTTTATCTGATTCAAATGATCCTACCCTCCATTTGGATTAGTTTGATTGAATTCAGTTGATCCTAGATGGCATTTTTATATGCAAGTTGAGAGTGATCAGATTGCTATAGTTAGTTTGTATACAGGATTTGGATGATTAGAGTAATCTTGGATCAGTTTGATTCAAAAAGTATATGCACCCTAGGTGTGTGGTGCATGGGACTCCCACTATATGGAAGCTCTACATTTTGCTGTTTTTTCTGAAATGTGATTTGTGATTCAATTTTATACTGAATATCGAAACAGACTAGGGTTTTTATTGCCACTTGCAATCATCAGTATCATAATTTTATTGCCACTTTAATAAAAATATTACCAAGTGGCAATTTTGGCACTATGCAGCACAACCTCTGTTGAAGTATATTAATAATTTTATATGTTAGCATTTTAATTTTTTAATTACAGAATAAATAAATAATGCTAAGTAGTTGAAAAATTTTAAGTCATAAACAACTTTGTGCCAAAATATTGGAATATTGCATAAGAAGAAAATACTACATTAGATAACATGGAATTCAAAATACTTGCTACTATATTGCATTACTAAAAAGTGAATATAGAAGCTCTCAATGGCATAAAACATGCAATTTAATCACAGATATTTTTAAATGAAACATGATTACATAGCAAATGTGATACATAATTACAAATGGAATGTGAATGGTTGTTTACAATTATAAATATCTATAGCACTTTTTATTATTTGTTTTATGGCTGACAAGACAGCTTTTTAATGTGTATAATTTTGTTTGACTGCAAATTCTCTGTAAGAAAATTTATTAACATATCAAATATTTTAAAGACTAGCAGACCCAGCCACGCGTTGTTGTGGATCAAAATGTATCTATTATAAATGTATAACACTTCCCCCGTGGGGTGGGAATTTTTCGAAAAATCCCTTAGTGTACATTTTCTTGACGTACCCTATTAAAACGCAATCAAAAATGCAAAAAACCGCATCTGAAATAGTATAATAGAAGCCAAGTTCTTCATGGTAAGCCTTAATTTAATTAATTAATCCTGTCCCTCTCCCCCACGGGGAGAATATCGAAAAATCCCTTTGTAGTGTATATTCTGTTGACGTACCCTATTAAAATGCAATCAAAAATGCAAAAAACCGCATCTAAAATAGTATAAATAGAAGCAGAGTACTTTATGGTAAGCCTTAATCCTGTCCATCTCCCCTGGGGGATTTCGACATGTATATTATATAAAAACACATGTATATTCGAATGCAGCATTGTCAAAATTTCAAAGGAATCGGTAGGAACAAACGAACATTACATTTTTATTTATATAAATAGATAGATGATCATCCGCTTTAGTTCATTTTCACAGAAAAGCATAATGCCTCACAGAAAAGCAAACTTAGGGCGTCGTACTCGTAGTGTCATCTGTTGACATAAAAGCCTTAACCTAGATTATATATTTTAATTTATATGAATGTTTAATGGAATAATATACAGCCTATGTCCACTTTGATGTTCCATTCTAAATATTGGTGAAAGAATTTTTGAAATCAGATGAGTAGTTTTGGAGATTACCTGCTGCAAACAAACTTACAAACATTACCTCTTTATAATAGTATAGATGAAATTTTTGTATGATATAATTTGAAAACTGGGTTTCTTCAACAGTAGCATCAATCTAGTTTTGATGTATTGATATTATTGATTTCTTGAGCTCTTATGCATTACTTAGGGTGCGTTCTTTTATTCCTCTGCGTAACTTCACGTGAGCGGCATCTGTTTAAAAATTTCTGTGGACTGCATTCCTATATTCTGGCTGGAATGTGCGTTGTCGGATGGCAAAAATGGCCGCTTGTAGTAGTAGTAGTTTAGGGTGGAAAGCAACATGGCATCCTCCATGGCTCAAATAGTTTCGTTTAAGGGTCCATTATGTGGTTTTATGAATGAAAATTTAGAAGTTGTGAAAGCGTGAGTTAGTGCATGTGGTTATGTAAGTGTCTCCTCAAATTTTTTTCTAGTGGTAGCTGGCATTCTAATTTTATTTGTGGCTACTTTGAATGCTCTGTCGGTAAAATAATTCATTTTATGATTAAATTTTACAATTGATACCCTTCTTTTGTCTCTAAAAACGCATATTTTAAAAATTATAGATTTTTCTTTAATTAACGATACTATTGATAGTACAGGTGCCACCATCTTTCTTTCTTTCTTTCACCGTCATTCCTAAATGCCTACAAACAACAGCGCACTCCTGTAGTAGCGGAGACACAGAGCGACTGCTATTAATGAAGGCACCCTTACTGCTGATAATTAAAATAATTTGCCCTGTAAATAGACATGCTACTATTTATTGACATTGTCAAGTGGATGAATAAATTTAATTTTAGGGAAGTGTTTGAGGTGTGATTTAAAACTCTACTTTTTGCACAGTTTGGATGGAAACAATTTAAAAAAATACAATTTTTATACATGTTTTAAGCAAATTACATTTGACTCTGTATTGAAAATGAAGAGAGATAATCAGAATAGGGGGATATTATGAAAAATAGAATAATCATGCATTAATATTGAGAGAATTCACTGTAATTTGCACATTTTAGGAATGTTTTTCTGAGGTATTTAGGGTCTAATCTTTCTCTTCCCAAGTATCAATCACAAAAACACTCTTGGCCTAGTTTAAAATACTTCTGATACCATAATGCAATGTGTTACAGAATGATAGCAAGCTTCTATAGCATATACAATATATAAATAAGCTAAAGAGTAATTTTATTTTCATAAAATAGGGATTACTGAACAACGTTTCTTCTAGGCTGCGCATCTTCTCTCTGTTCAAATTGTTCCCCCCACATGAATTTGTGCTGTGCAGGCGAGCATGCTCACTGATTTGAACTGTTGTTTACTGATAGAAATATTTGTATAAAAGTAAATGGTCAAAGTATTTTATATGTTTGATAAAGCTGGAAATTCCCAATCTGGAACTAGCAACATTAGCAATAGAGGTAAAAAGAAGGTTGGCGAGTTTACTTAAAATAAGAAATATTTTATCTAATTCTTTTAAAATTTTTTGTAAATGGGAAGAGGCATCCATAGCCCATATTGGCAGACAATAATTAAGTAGAGACTGAATATTGGCAAAATATTTGGATCATAAGACTGTTTTCGAGGATATAGTTTTGCAAAAAGGCCAAAGTATTCCATGATTTTTTATGAATGTTTAAAGTTTTTATGGACATTTTGCCCACCCTGTATTATATTTTGCACAATTATTTGTGGAATTCTTTTTCAATAGCTTAAGTAGGAAACCTATTGAATGAAACCATTTGTAGTTAAATTTAAACCAGTTTCAATTGTAATTAAATTCAATTCATGAATGTCATTAAAGTGTATTTATAAATAGAAATGTTAATAAAAGAATTTTTCTGTTTGTCTGGATCATAAATCTTTATGCGAATTTTATTCTGCAAGAGGAGAATTATTCTAAGAGTAGTTTTATCTTAATAATAATTACGAAAGTTGTATTTGTAGAAATGATAATGAAAAGTTTATTATGTAAATATTAAGTATAATGTTTATAAATCAGCTCAACTGAAAGTAAATGTGACACAAATGTTTAATTCAAAGTAATTATTAGCACTTTGACAGGATAATATTTTAAAATATATTTTTTATTGACTTTTCTTACCAAACAATTATAAAATTTAAATTTTCTTGAAAGGGAAGTATGTTAAATATATGTCTATTCATGAAAACCTGTGGGAGATGTTACGCCATCCCTTTGTTAGTGTATTCAAATTTTTGTGGCGTGTTTTTTTGTGTTTAGCAAGTATAATGAAGTGATTTAATGAATTATTTGTATTTGTAATAAAATTACATTTAAAAATACTACAGAAAATGTTATTTTAATTAAATTTTTTAAATTTTAAAATAAATTTAACAGAATTTCTTCATGCAATTATTCTTGATTATTATTAACTACAAATAAATTAATGACAGGTTAAAGGATTATCTTACAAATAAATTTTATTTTTCAGGGGTTGGCAGTCTTTTGTTGCTTATGGATGTCATCGACACGTCATCATCATTGACACAAGATATTTGAAAGCATGTAGTTTTATATTTATTATAAGCTATAAAAATTATTATGTTAAATTACTCTTTTTTAGATTAGTGAGATCAAATGAGATTTAACTAATCTAAAATGAGGTTTCTAAGATCTCTTATAGCATTCTCAAAGGATCTTAGAATCTTTATATGGGAATAGGAATGCATAATTTCTATGTGAATATTAGAATTTTTGTAGGTAGGGATGATGTTTTATAGCTACTCAGCTGAATTAATTAATACACATTTAACAGTGGGTGAAGTTTAAAGAATGCTAAAGTTTTGAATCTGGTTAATGGGGCTATCCTCAAGCATAGAGAGCAGAAAGTGGACATTCTACTTTCTGTGCCTGATCATGCCCATTTGCAAACATTAGTGTTTTTTACACTCCACTCACTGTTAAAGATTCATTGATTAATTCAGAAGGATTCTCATAGGAATTGTATAGTTTTCTAGACTCCTTAAGAGTTATACATTTAAAATATATATAAAATTAAAAATGACAGAACATAATACAATATAATAATTGCTATATTATATGCTATTTGGCATTTAACATGATGCTTTACTGCTTAGTTCAAGCATTATATTATTTTCAAGATTATTACTATAGATGTTTAGTTTGAATGCCAATTATAGTTTTCTAATGGCAGTAAAAACTGTTAGCACTTGGGTTAGAAATATTGTTTCAGTGTGAAAGTGAAAGGAATTATCAGAGAAGTAGGAAAATAATCTAAGTGAGAATCAAATCTTAATTGTGGGAAAAATTGTTTACATCCTGTTATTTTGCTAGCATTTTGGGATATTTGCTCTCTTCAAGCTTACTACCTTTATAATATATCATTGAATAAAAGTAATAAATCTCTAATGCTTGACTTTCGATCTGAATTATTAATTATCTCAAAAAACATTTTATCAGTATTAAAGATGCAACTTCATTAAAGGTATAGCATATGATGAATGAAGTATGAAAATAATAAATGCATAAAAAAGTAGCTGAAAATTTTTCTATAATATAAAAATTAAAAATTTTTATTGTGCTATTTTAAAAATTACAAGTATACAGAAAGTTTGAGGATTGGAAGTTAATGAAATAGATCAGTTTTTTAAAATAAATAATACAATACTAATCAGAAGATGACCAATAAAGTAAAAGATTGTTGGTCAAGGTTATCTTAAAGGTCGTAGGAATAATCAGAATGAATATATGATGGCAATAACTCTCAGAACCACTTCAAAAAAGTTAAATTATGGCATTATTTTCAATATCAGTTTAATAACAGCCTTCATTATCATCAAAAAGTTAACAGATATGACTTATTTGTTCTGTGAAGTTTTAATTTATACTTACTTTTGTGAGACAAAATGTTTAATCTGTTAATGTGTGTTTTACAAGTAGTGTGACAAAGAAATAGAGCTTGTCAAATTATTTTATTAAGAAATAGTACTAAAATTCTTTAAAGAACTTTCCAAAATAACTTTAGTAAATTCTCATCCATGTACAGAGTAACATTTTCAATCCTCTCTCTGGATCTTTGTCAGATCCATGATTTTTTAGAATCAGAACACTTTTGAATATTTTCGGAAATGTTTCATTTTGAATTTCATTGCATTTTTTTAAAAACTGTTCCATTTCCCAAATATGTTTACAGAAGGTTCTTTTAAAGAATTTTAGTATTTTTGCTCTAGTTTGAAGGAATTTAATCTGAATGTAACCTTTATATTTTTAACATACTAAAAGTATGTTAAAAATATGGATGTTCAACTGCTTAGAAAGCTAATATTTAAACCATAAAAAATTTTTGAGCTTGCCCGAAAAATTATACTTTTGTAACATTCACCATTAGTAAACCATGACCCAGAATAATAATCAGTTTTCAAGCAATTTTTATTACTTTTTTAATTCTTTATTCAATGTTGACTTTAGAATATAAAACAAAAAATCTGTATGCACTTTTAATATTTCAGCATTTGATAAATGAAGCTGTTTATATTAAAGTAGCTTTTACAATGTTGACTTCACTAATTTTTTGTTTGTTTATATTTTAGATATTCCAAACTTTAGTAAAACATAAAAGTGATGTTGTCAAGGTATGTATTTTCAGACTATGTTGTTATATATCTAAAAAGCATGTCAAATATAAAATAATTAAAGTAGTGATAGGATGATTAATCGGAATTGGAATCAAGAAAATATCATCACAATTTCTGATTCTTAAAACGATTCTTCAACATTTTATAAGAAAATTTAATTATTTGTCTCACTTAAACATTTAAAAATTTTTAAAATTATGATATTAACAATTAATTAAATATTTGTTTATTGGAAAGTTTTGTGTCAACAAAGCAGAAAGTATGCATATGCTAGGTGACATCTGTCACAGAAGACTCTGACCATGGTTACTAGATTATCTACTAACCTTGGTTAGTATCTGCTGATGTCTAATTAAATCATGCTCTAACTGTCCCCATTTTAGGGTAGATAGGGTGATATTAGTGCATTTGACTGGCAAACTGTACTCTGTATCTGTATATATAGGGTGTAACAGAAAAGTGTGTAAAAAATTGAGAGGTTATAGAGGGGTTAAAGCTAAGTTCATGTTGGTGTACAAACTGTTACAAAGTAGATATGAATTGATAATTGATCCCTTTCAACAACTGTTTATCTAGTTCATTATGAGTTAAAAATACTGCAACTTTTGCCAAACTGTGGTTTGTTTGACCAGTTAACTTCCTTAAAATTGGTGATTGTAACTGTTTCAGTCATGTCATGTTCTAACTCAGTTTGTGTTGTGTAGTACAAATGAAATGTGAATATTTAATTTTGGATAATGTTTTTGTTTATTTGTAGTAGTTTGTATGACAGAATGAACCTAGCTTAAATCTTATTTAAACTAAACTATACAGCAGTTTTTTATTCCAAATTAAAATTTTTGTTTTAGAATAATAGATTATTATTTAATATTTAAGCATTATCATTATTAAATAAGAAGAAAGTTGGTTATACACTGTTGAGTTATACCAAAGAACATACATGATCCAATGTTTGTAGTTGTGTGAAGTTGATAGCAAACTTCTTTCAATTCTGATTATTATGATTCTAAAAAGTCAAATAGCAGATGTATACTAAAAACTGAATAGCTAAAAACTTTTAATGTATTCAATTAAAATCATGAATATTTGGGATGTTTTTGTTGTGAAAATCTAATCACTTTTTTTAATATTCTCTCCAAATTACTTGAATGAAGTCAAGCTTTTTCAGTGTGTTTGATTGTCTCTCTATCACTTTCAGATTCCAAATATCATTTGAATCTTTGCAATTTAGCATCAATTTTACATTCACATTATCTGAAAATACAAATGAAACAAAAACAAACTGAAAATGATACAACTTTCTTTTTTTTTTCTTTTTTCTTTCAGTTTGGTAGAATTTCATCCAAAGCAAAGTTGAAAATAGCTGAACTTTATTTCTGGTCAGCTTTTTCAGTTGTGCTTTCTCTGATAAGAAAATGTTTTTTAAATTATGTCAGGTTGCTACAAATCATACTAGTGCAATTATTTAACAAATAGTTTTAATTAGTGTGATATAAATATATTTTATTTAAAATATCTTCTACAAAGTCAACTTTCTAAAACTTCTGATCTCAAGGGCACAGTTCTGCTGGCAACCTTATAACAGTTCACTGTTAAAAGCAGTTGTAAAATCCAAGCTTTCCTATTTAACAGCATTCTCTGCACAGTCCCTTGCTGTTGAGAATCTAGTTTGAGCAAAACATGGGATAAAGCAGCTGCTCAAACTTACCATAAGTTTGAGCAGCTGCTTTATCCCATATTTCATTAATCCAGTATACTTTATCCAATACTGTTAACTGCTATTTCTGTTAATGATGTTGCTGAATTCATCACAGATATCATTTTTATCAAAAACAAGCTTCAATAATTGTCTTGAATTATATATCACACCTTGGTCAAGAAGCTGAATTAGACAAGGTGGTTTGCTGGTAAAGATTTAACTGTAACATTGCCAAGTTACTGATTGTGATGAGAAGAAGCATTGCTAGTGAAAAGCAAAACTTTGTAATCTTCAGTTTTCATTTTCTCATTAAAGGATTTCAACCAGTATGAAAAAATTTCATATACCATCTTGTTAAAATTTCACTTAACAGCAAGTGAAGATGCATTTGCACTTTGGAAGCAGCATGGTTTGTTTACCCAATAATAAGTAGTTTTATCTTTTTGCCAATACACTGGCACAAAGCAAAGCCACTAATTTCTTTGCCTTTATATGTCTTGCTTTTCTTTGTAAGAGTTTTGTTCTGAAATATGCAAAAAACAGTCCAGCCTTATCTGTGTTGAAGATATCAAAAGAACTGTAATTTGTACAAAGATCTCCTGACTTGTGTTTCCATTCATCCATAGTATATGTATTCACATCTGTTTACTTCCCACAAATCTTTTTAAATTGTATATTAACAGTTCTTGAAACATGGCAACCAACCCTAAGATACTTTAACCTATTCGATGTTGAATATTTTCTCCGTCACATGTTGCTCCACATTGAATATTTTTCGATGTTAAGCCTAACGCAATCACACGTTTTAGAAAAATAATAATTGTGGCTATCGTATTATTCTGAATTACTTTATATTTCTTACACACAAAATAGACATATTAGGGAATGTAAAAAACAAAAAATTTTATTTTAAAAGTTAATTTTAGTGTGATATATCTCGAAACAAGGTACAACACACAGTGGAACATTACACTGTACACGTTGATAATGTGATTCTGCACGTTTTTTGTGAGCCGAACATACTTTACATACTCTGGATGGATGCTTTTTTTCTCTGTAGGTGGTATGAGACTAGGAAAATGCAGCTCAGATAAACGTAACAGATTTTCATGTGATGGTCGACCATGGCAGGCTAGATGTCTGCTTGTGTGATACTTCTCTATCACTTCTCTGATTACAGACATATGAAAATCTAGAAATGATATTTGTTTTTTCATATGTTTTCGATACAAAATACAAGCATTATATAATGTAATATCCATCATATGAAAAAACACTTTTTTGTACCATTTTACCGTTTTTCTCATGCACGGATAATTGTGATTACTCTGTCACAGAGATCAATACCACTCATATTTCAATTATAATCCAAAATACAAAATTTGGTTTCCTTATAACTTCCCCAGATCTGTCACATTTACCCAAATCAGAGAATTTGTTGTCACTCATCATACTTAGAATTGCCACATCCCTTTTGTCTTTCCAACAGAACACAGACAATTCATCTTTCTGACAGGTGATAAATTCCCCTTCTTTCAATTTACGATCAGGAAAATTACATGGCATTCCTAACCGATTTTTATTTACAGTTCCACATACATAACTTTCTTTGTATAGAGGCGTTTTCACTAAGGTCGGTGAGGTTTTTCACCTCACCGACCTTAGCAAAAAACCTATCTAAAAACACCTTGTGATATTTACTGAACAACTGTTCTAATAAGGTTAGCACAACCTTCTCTCTTTGACCACCTTCAAAATTTCCATATTCAGTAGTAGCTTCGGTATAAACTATAAATTCCCAAACATATCCTGTTTGTGACTCACAAATTTCGAAGCTTTTCACTCTAAAACGAGCACACTTTGGTATGTATTGCCTAAATCCCAATCTCCCTTTCCATAGCATAAGACTTTCGTCTACACAGATATTTTCCTCTGGGAGATACGCATTTTTGAACTTGTGGTGTAAATGATCGATAACACTGCGTAATTTATGCAGTCGATCATCACCACCTGAAGCTTGATTATTGTCCGTAAAATGCAGACAGGACAATAAAAGTTGAAAGCAGTTGCTTGAAATCACACTTGAGAAAAAGGGTGTCGAAAAAAGATCTTCGATTGTAAAATACATGCTTAGGCGCGGTTTTCTAATTATGCTTGTGACCATTATAAGTCCTAGAAATTCTCTAATTTCTGGATTTGTCGTTGGTTTCCAGTTTTTTATCCGACTATTCTCTCGTAAATTGTCACAGTTTAGCAAACTATCACCATACCTGAAATGATCTTGTCAACAAGTTCGTCATCGAAAAATACACTGAAACAGTCGAACGGTGTAGCATCACTCCGTATATTACATAGTATTCCTGATGGTCCTGTAAAACTGTTCACTTGAGGATGCCTAAAATTTGTACGAATCCATCTGTCGTCACTACTAAATCGCGGACATTTAGCAGTATTACTTTGAGTACTGCCGCGTGATCTGCCTCTATATCCACTCGTAGATGGTAAATCAGGATCAAAATCACCACTGTCATCACTTACATTTTGATCTGGTATGTAATCATCGTTGCTGTCTGAAAATTCAGATTCATCAGAGCCTAAATTGAATAAATATTCGATAACTTCTGACTTAGAGTGCTGTCTACTACTTGCTGCCATGTCGAAAGACAGAGAAGAAGTGGTCTGATTTTCTTTGTGATTTATAACAAAGAACAATTCCTAGAATTTCGATATCCTGCTGAGCAAAAATTAGATAACATAACAGTTCTTCTGGTATGAGTCACTTATTTCAAAACAACATACAAGTAGCAACATTAGAGCAAACACTTTTGTATTACATACAAAAGTTTTGCTCATCAGAGCAAAGTTTTGATATATTCAAAGTTATACAAAGTTGTTTTATTTTCAGGTCAAATGGTCAAAGGAGTGCCATTATCATGATTCTTTCAATCCGTATAATATTACATTAGCTTCGGCAGATAATGGAGGCTCAATAATCATCTGGGATGTCAAACAGGGTGTAGAAAAATCCATTTTAAGTGATGGAAATAAGACTGTTGCAGGTAAGTTACATCTTTAGATGAACTCAACTGTTTAAACATGAAATTGATAGATGGAAAATTTGTATGACTGGTTTTGCTATACAAGTTCCCCTTGTAGCCTTAGGGATAGAAACAATTTAGTCTTTAAAAGCATAGATAGAAATATTATTCAGAGCTTAAAAGTTAATAGAAAATTAACATTTTAGAAAATAAAGTTTAGGAAATTTTTAATCTTGTTCAATTATAACAAGAAGTACTTATTTTACAAATAAACAAAAATAACTCCTCCATTTATTAAGGGTTTTTTCTTAGAAGGTGTCAATTTATTGCTTTGGGGATCCAAGAATGAATCTGGATGAGTCAAAAAATTCTAGGAATTTTTCTGGGGGTGATCCCTCCTGGATATATCAGCCCCATTCCTCACCACCTAACTCCATCCTGTTATGGATCTGGTTGAATTCACAATGGATTTGAAAAAGGGCTCCTTAATGTTTACAGGGTAGAAAGAGTTTTAAGAAAATATTACATGTTATTTTTAGTTAAAAATGTGAAGTGAACCATATTCCTGAATGAAAAAAAGTTGATTAAGCAATTTATAACAATAAGAAAGGTTTAATAGTTATGTAAATGAACTAATTAGTGAATAAATTATAGCCAAACAATTGCCAGATTGCATTTGAATACATTAATGCTACTAGTATTAATATAGCCTGATGTAATTCAGCTATCACTTGGCTTTAATCTAAAAATTGAGTTTATAAATGTTTATATATGAATAAATTATAGATTTCCGATTAACGTTTTTTTTAAAAATATCTAGATATGGAATGGGTAACAGGATCCGATTGCTGTCATCATTTACTTGTGGCACTTCACCCTCCATATTCCATTATCTTGTGGAATACAGAAACTGGAAGTAAAATGTGGAAGAAGCTGTATACAGAAGTATTACAATCATTTGCTTTTGATCCTTTCAGTGAAAATAATTTGGCATGTGAGTGAAAACTGTTTGAAATTTCTTGATTATTTATAACTGAATATTAATGTACATCTTACATTTGTTAATTTATCAGTTTTAGCATCAGATTGCATTCTCTTTGTGGATGATTTTAATTTGATTAAAGTACCTTCTAGCAATGGAAGAAAATTTTTTGTATCGAATCCTTCTTCGGTCTTAGGCAGTCAGCAATCTCTGAATACAATTCCTTCTGGACATCAGTCTAGTATGGAAGATAAATCAAAATCTGTGTCTAGAAGTATTCTTCCACGAAGAATGAGATTTCTGATAAGGGCAGAAACCAGAAACAGGTACGAGATGTTATTTATTTGGTTATAAAAGTGAAGAAGAATTTAAAGTTTTTAGAGTAAAACTTTTTCATTTACCTTTCTTTTTCTACTTCCAATAGTAAAGATGCTTTTGTTTTCTTAGTTTAGATGAAGGGGTGACTTTAAATGAATGTCTTCAATTAATTTATCATAGATCATATCGACATCATCTGTTGTTGTTATATCCACGTGAAATTCTTATTCTTGATTTGGAAATTAATCAGGTAAAAATGTAATAATTAAGAAATATTTATAATATTTACCAAAGGAGTAAGAAATATTGTTATAATAGTAAAAAAAGACATTGAAATTGAATTTTATATATGCATTTTTTAATAAAAGATGCTATGTGAAGATATATTTTTTGTATGTTTATGTTGGTATATATTAATGATTTTACTATTTCCTTTAATATTTTACATTAAATATCATATGTATATAAAAAAATATATTACATTGTCAACATTAATAAATATTAATATGTTTTGGAAAAATTTCAAACTGGATTTTTTTTAATTATCTGGATCCTTCAAATGGTTCAGAAATCAAAACTAAAGCTTGGTTTCCATATTACTGGGAATTATTCCATAAACAAAAATATCAGAAAAAGAAATATAATGTCTCTTCGTGTCTAGAAATTTTGGATTCCAAATGGAAATGAGAGTTGAAAATATTTCTACTTTTAAAGATTTGCTCTGAAAATGCTACTATTTTTTTTTTGTTACTCTCTGATTAGACTTGCCAACAATTTGCATTCCATATTTGGCAGTAACATTCTTACACAACTTGGAAAAATCTGTAATTGACAGAGTTGGGAATTAACTCATATTTATGAGAATATAAGAGGAAACCTAGTTGGAGCTGTTTTTTGAGCCACTGTCCTCTTTTGATTTTAGAAATAAAATGAAGTGTTTCCTTGCAGTTTGTGTGTGTTAATAAAATTTTTACTTACACCTAATGTCTGTTTAGTGTATTATTTTTGAAGAATTGGCATGAGATGTAAGTAAAAGTTTTATTTCTATTTTTCCATTCCATTAATACATTGTTTTTATAATGTACTAAACCAACTGCATAATGATATTTTGATGATGTAATTTTTCTAATTGTTGGTAATGTTATTTGACACCTTACCATTTCAAGTAATGGAAGGAAAGGATAAAATAATTTTTTTCAATTGATTTTTAACTTTGTGACAAATAACCAACAAATTTGATGTTGAAAAAATATGCAACATCACCAAAATGTCTTCATCCATTTTTACTTATTGTTATTCCTGTTATTGGCTGTGAAAGATTTCTAAGAAATTCCACACTCAATTTTTGGTGCAGTAAGTTAGAACAAACTGAATAAGAACAGAAATGGGTTTCTTTAATTATTCTGCTTTCTGGTGATGTGGAAACAAAGCATTATTTCAGTTTCTGGACTATTGAGAGAACAACAAAGATTTCTCTCAAGTTGAAATTAATAATTGATAATCAAGTTGAGTAGAATTAATAATTGAAGATTGAATATATCACAAGTGATAGTTTCCACGTAAAATTTATTTTATTGAGTTTCACTCAATAAAAGACCCAATATGGCACCTATATAAAACTGCTTCATGCATTAGTGGTGATTTGATGCAATCATCAAGGCATTGAAACAGTTGCTATTAATACTAAGGATTCTACCAGTTTATTTTTTTTCTAAGATTATTTTATGGTTTATTTATTGGTATTATAATTATCTTATTAATTGTATTTCAGGTGAGAGTTTGTTACATATATTTCCTCTAATTTATGTTTTGATCCTACACCATCTATTGTAATTGTATTTTATCTATTTTTAGTTACAATTTATTACTTATTTTACTTTTTTTGTTTGTTTTATTTTTGGTATATTTTCTATTTATTATTTCTCCCATTATGTCATTAAGTATCCCACTTAAAGTATTCATGCAAAACATTTGTTCTATCAAAAATAAATGTTATCATCTCCTGTCTATATTATGTGATTCTTATGATTTTTACACCTTTACTGAAAGTTGGTTTACCTCATTGTCTTACGATATTGCTAATTTTATTTCTCTATTGGGTTATTCACATATATCTTTAGAATACATTAATTAAAGAGGTGGAGGAATACTTGTTATCTTTCTTTTATCTTTACAAGTTTATAAAATTGTTGATTATATTGATTTCATTCTTATTTTAAAAATTCGTGAATTTAAACTTATTTTATCTATTGTTTATGCACCTCACACTAAGAGAATCTCTTTTTTTCAAATCTTTCACCATTTTCTATTTTCTTTTATTATTCCTGGTTTTAAATTCATAATGTGCGGTGATTTTTATTTATCTAATGTTTGCTGGAATTCCTCATGTCCATTTTATAGGGTTTTGGATCCTGCTGAAGTGTATTTTCTAAATGAAATTTTTTATGTTAACTCAGATAGTTTCTTTTCCATCAAGAAGGAATTCCTATTCTGACTTCCTGTGCTACCACCTACCCGACCAATGGTTTTCTGTCAGATCTCATACCTATTTGCATTGAAGTTTCACCCATTTTCTGGTAAAACAAAATGTTTTCATAATATACTGTTATGGTCCCAAATCAACTGGAAAAATGTTATCACCCATCTCTGTTTTGTGAATTGGTCTTACCTTGATTCTAATGCTATCACTATTAATGCTAAGTCTGACATTACTTATAAAATTTTTTTATCTACTGTACACAATATTTGCAATATAAAATGATATTTCAACACAAAAATGGTCTAATTATCATCTAAAAATATTGTGTAATTTATCTTCAAAAATACTGGAACAAATGGAGAAAATCCAGTAATCCCTACAATCTTTACATACATAGTATTTTTTTTTTTTTAGATAATATAATCATGAATGCCATACTTCTTTCCAAAACTATTTTAATAAGGTAACATTTTTTTTTTCATCTGACTCTCACACTTTTTGATCTTTTATACCACATTTTTCTAAAAGAATACCAAGTAAATTAATTCTTGTTCAAGATGATGATGTTTATAATGTATACAATAATTAAAAAAAATTTATTACCATACTTCCTAATGCCATCTCCTTTATCCCTTCACTTTTATTTATATAAGCTTGCCTTTTCTTTTAATGAAGTTCTTAATGCCATAGATATCTTAAATAATTCTCATAACAGCTGAGCTCTAATTTTGTCTATTTTTTATAAATCATTAAAACCAATATCTTCAGTTGTTCACTCCAGATTATTTTCCATCTTTGCTCAAAATAGCTTTGTTCCTAAACAATAGCTCTTAGAACATTATAGCTGTACCTAAAAAAAATGAAAATGGGACAAAAAGCATTTTTTGTCATCTGCCATGTTGAAAGTTTTTGAAATTTGTTTATATTGTAGACCATATTGAACAATTTCTTCTAAATTTTTTCAGTTTTTTGAAATAAGTCAAAATAATCCTGGGCTTCTATGAACAAATATACTTTGTCATATTACTTTGCCTATATTATCCTATTCTGACAATATTAAATTGATTAACCATGACCTCATTCATGTCCTTCAGTCTGATCCACTTCATTTATCTTAGCTTTTAGAAAAAGCTAAGATAAATGGAGTAGATCAGACTTTTAGATCAAAGCTTTTAGAAAAAGCTAACCTTAAAATCAATATACAAAAAGCTGTAATCACTCATTTATAATCCTCAGTTGCCCACATTATATATTTACAATAATCCCATAAAATATATTAATTCTTATAATGACCTTGGCATCAGTTTTGATCCTAAACTTGTAAAGGATATGTTGATAAGATTGTTAAATTTCTAGCTATTCATTGTGGAATTCTTTGGCCTTTTTGCGAAATATCTCCTCAAAAACAGTCCTATGAGTCATCTGTTTTGCGAATATTCAGTCTCTACTTAATTATTGTCTGCCAATATGGGCTATGGATGCCTCTTCCCATTTACAAAAAATTTTAAAAGAATTAGATAAAATATTTCTTATTTTAAGTAAACTCGCCAACCTTATTCTTACCTCTAATGCTAATGTTGCTAGTTCCAGATTGGGAATTTCCAGCTTTATCAAACGTATAAAATACTTTGAACATTTACTTTTATACAAATATTTCCATGGATCCATTCATTCTGATTGGCTGTTCCTAAGAGTTTTGCCACTCATTACTCATAATCAAACTTTTTTTTTGTCCCATCTCGTAGGCTTTCCATTTCTTTCAGATCCTTTTTATATCAGTTTATTCAGAATATCGATTGTGTGGAACAATCTCTACATGAAGTTTTTCTACATTTTAAACATATTTCTAAATGGTTACTTTATAATATATAATCTCTTGTTTTTTTTTTATTTATATTTTTTGTCATGTATAACAATTTTTCTTCTTTGTTATTTGTACTGTAATCTTTTGTTACTAGCATTACTATCAATTGTCTTGTGACATTTCCTTTTATAAATGCAATAAATAAATAAATGTTTGAGAAGTGCACTGTAGCTTTATTTCTGATTAGGCATTGTTCTGCAAACTAAAAAAGTTTGTAAAGTACTATATTATTTTTCCGACTTTTCCAACGATTATCGACACTACTGCGTGCCGGAAATAGCCGTTCCCTAACGGGTACTTTACGCGGATTCGCGTTAGTGTGCCAGGCCTGGACTTTAAGCGTGCACCGAATTAAATAATGACAAAGTTTGTCAATAACAAAATCAAATATTTAATTAAACTTCTATTAATAAACTCTATACAGTATTTAGTAAAAATCAAACAATAATTTATTCAATGAAACTCAACAAGAATCAATCCGACAAACTCAAATCAATCTATTTCTAACTTAATTCTATTCCCCTTTGGAATTCGACAAAATCAAAGAATTAACTTATAAACAATAATTCTTATAAATTAAAGATCCTAATCGTCACCTCAATATACTAGGAACCTATTTCCTCAAACTCTCAAGACTTTCTATAATCGTCGATCCACAAATCGAATAACTTCAAAATCCTATCGGACACCTCTCTCGTTCACTGCTACGAAGCTCACCAAAGCTCGTTGCTATCAGGAATTCACCTCGTTCGTTTTCACTTGAGTTAGAGGCTTTATAGTGTGAGGTGACGTCACAATTCTGAATGAGCTCACTCTCCTCATTTACATACTTATCTGTAACATTAAATTTTTCTTGTTTATCTGGCAGATTATTTTCCGACAATACTTCGCTAACCTTTTACATTATTCTTTTTAACAATTATCGGGATGCTTTATTCTTTTAAGGTTTAGCGATTCCTAACTGGGTTGTGGGGTCTTCCCCCCCCTTTTTCTCGGTGCGGACTTACTTTTTTCCGCTCGGGAAGCGCAAATGTGCGCGAGTTTTTCTACGGCGCTTTTCTTTCGTCGGTGAGTTGGTTTTTCTTCTATTTTTTAAGTTACTAAGGTGAATGGTGAGGAAACCTTCGTCCTAACAAAACATAAGCCCCAAACAAAAATAGAATAATAAGCAAAATAAAAGTAAATAAAAATAATGTTTGGGCTTGGTTCCTTACAAGTTTGCAAAGTAATGTTTAATCAGAAATAAAGCTATTAGTCAAGTAACATAAAAAAAACTATTGACACATTCTATAGACAAATTTCTAACACTTTCACTATTACGTAAAATGAAAGAAATCTGATATAATTTGTTTTTTCTCAAATTATTCTTAGTCATCAAATTACTACACAGTCCTAATTTTTGTATCATGATTCATAGAGGAATAACATCAAAGTCAGACTTCCAGTTTGTTTTACCAATATGTCTTTAACAATAAATCTAAATTGGTTTTTAATTGCCAAAACATTTTTTGATTATTATTCAAGAACTCCTTCAGTAGAAGCAATTATAAAATTTTTGTAAAGAGCATTTGAAAAAAGTGCTCTAAATTCAGATTCCCAAATATAAATGGGAATTTATGAAAAGAATGAAAACATAAAATGATTTATTTAAACATGTTTATGCATTGAGAAATGAAAATGTTCATTTGTCAAAAACATAAGTACAGTAGAACCTCGATTATCCGGACCTCTATTATCCGGATTTTCGATTATCCGGATTGTTCAAAATAAACAAAAATTTTACGAATTTGCTGATTTGCACTTGGCGAATTACGACACTGTTTATGTACGTGATGGAATGCATAAGTTTTTTTATTTCAACAACGTCTCACCCAGCACAGTGGTCATAAACTCTTAAATATATTTTACGTAGTAATAAAAATATAACTTGACATACGTATTTATAAATAATTTATATTCAAATTACATCATGTCTATGACCAAGGGCGGCATAAGCAAGGACGACGTGGGCCACCGCCTATGCCTCGAAGGTTTATGCATTACTTAAAAGCCGCGAACGCGGCGAAAAAATTTTACTCGTCATAAAACGATAAATAGTTTGTCAAATTTTTATTTATAAAAATGCAGTTTCAACTGCTTTTTATTTTATAAAATCTGTCTTCTTGCGCCAGCAGAGGGCCTTTTAAGCAATAGGTAGTCTGTTAGCGTTTGTCAGTAGTAGCCAAATTCAATATGAACGTTTGTTTCTTGAAAATTTGATCATGATTTAAATACAGTATTTACTTTTAATATTACCGATATGTCATCGAAAAGAAAATGTGTTGTATTATCATTAAAAGACAAATTAAAGTATTTGTTTCGATTATCCGGATTTTCCCTTATCCGGACTACCTTCATCCCCAATTAGTCCGGATAATCGAGGTTCTACTGTATATTATTCATCTGCTCCTGATCATTCTACATAGTCCCAATTATTGCGCAATATGCATCAGTTACAATTCATTATGACAATTTCATGACCACTTCATATCACAGATGGCATCATTTTCAGTGTAATAACCTCATTAAAGCAGCTTTTAAGATTCAAAACATTTTTACTGCTTTTTTCCATTCCATCTTTTCTCTTGTAGTTTCAATAAATTTAGTCATGGATTCATCTAAACTTAAAAAAAATCAGTCAAACTCAAAATAGTAATAAAAAAAATGGGGGATTCTTCCTAGAGGTTTGACTTAGGAAAAGGGAATGTTTTAGACAACATGGCATTGTCAATTATCATGTCAAAAATGGTTAAAAAAGCATGTAATCCATTAGTTTGTTTCTACTACTACATGTTAATGAGAAATGATTTTTTATCTGATTAGAAGTAAAATGATGATGCCACAAATTACACTTTGACAATTTTGTGAATAGCAAGAATAAACATCCACACACTTTTTGCAGATGAGAAATTTTAACTCATTTTATGAGATTGATGTGAAGTATTTACTCCACTTATTTCTAGTCTGCAACACTTCTTTTGCAAAATAAACCTGCATTCTTACTTAGGGGTAGGGATCTGACTTTAATGCTTTTCTTATATTAATAAATTCCTAGATGAATATAATTATTGCAGCTGTTAGATGTGTTTTAATTTCACATTTTATGTTTTAGACAGTTGGTATTGTTGCTGTAGATTGGTCTTCGCCAATGACGCAGCTGTATTCTTGTGCCCAGAGAGATGTTTTATTTTCTCTTCATGAAACAGGGAGCATTGGAGTCAGAGTAAGACATCGAGGCAATTTGGCATCTAACAGTCCTGATGGTGAGTAAATTTAATCAAGTCATAAGTTTCTTTATAGTGATGATATTCTTCAATGTTAGAAGAAATCCTTTAGACTGTCTCAATGAGTAAGGAAAAGTATTGACATTTTGCAATTGTTAAATGAATTTAAATGATTGATGATCTTATATTATTAATTTATAATCTATTTATAATGCAATTTTTGTTAGAAAACTAATAAATAATATAATCTATAGTTTCTGTTATAGCTTTGATACTGTAATAATATAAATAAATGTCCAATAATATATAAGGGATGTTCAAATGAAAATGAGAATTTGCCCTAAATTCTGACATCCCTTTCTGCACACTGCCATCTTTACTCTTACTAGAAACAGACAAGTTCAGATGATTGTAAGATGTAGTCATTAGATAAGTTCCTCTTGTAGACTTGTTATAAAACATCTCAAGGAACATCTGTTTGCATTGAACAAGGAATTCAACTAGACTGGCTGGTTCTCCCAACAGCCAGCATACTTGTTTACTACCTAGTAGTAGTTTTTAACCTAGTAGTTGAATACAATCCTCATAGAACTAGGCTAGTTTTTTGAGAATGGTATTGTAAGTTTGCCGACATTAAAGGGGGAGACAATTTATCTCGTGTCAGAATGAGCCTAAGGGAAACCGCGTATGTGGGTGGTGGCAAAGGAGGCAAATGAAGAACAAGTGTTTAACAAAAGAAAACCCGTTTATTTGTTCGAATTCATGCTTACATCGATATTGGACAATTCCAAATCCCGGAGCTCCTATGAACGGCGAAAGTTCGGGTGGTCGGTCGCAGCCCAGGCGGACGAGAAGGATCACTGGACAATACGGATGTTCGTTGTTAAGCTGCGGTGTCTGGGTGATCGGCGGTTACACAACACAATCTAAATCACAACAGTAGGCTTAATCCAGAGGAGACACTCTTTTGACCTTGAAGTTCCGATTTTTATAGTTTTTCTCCCACTGTTTGCATTTCGGATTGGTCCCTCGTCCCATTCCTCGCTTTCCGATTGGTCTCTCCTTTGTCTCTAGGTGCAAGACGAAACTTTTTCGGGTCGCAGGAAAGGTCTGATTCGAGGTGTCCATCTGATACCTCTTTGTTGACTCTGCTCAGTGATTGTTTTTAAAACAATAACATTTGCACATTAGGCTGTTGTTTATCATTTCTTGACGTCTAAGAATTTAACGATCAATTTCACCTTTCATCTATCAAAAATTCCCCTATTTTTTTGTTTGAAAAGCTTTATCTCGGCCAACATTTTATAGACACTCGAGTCAAAGATTTACCTATTTATGAGTGCTCATGTTAGAGTTTGTCTTCCGCTAAGACCTTGACAGATAGTTTGTCTTCCGCTAAGACCTTGACATACTCGAACAGTCTCGTTTACATCTTGTGTCATGCAAGAATTGAAACATTGTACTCTGTTCTTCATTACTAAATCCATTGAAGATCTAGCTGAACTTATGATGGTGAAGAAAACCTTATTGCCTATTGAACATGAACATTTAAAAGAAAAAAGTCTATTTGGTCTTCTTGACTAGTATTCTTTATTATAGAAATAAATGACTATTTTTGGGCTAATGGGAAGAAATTTACTGCAGAAAAAGAACAGCTGATTGAAGTATTATTATTTGAATAGGCAGGAAAATTTTATTTTGGTGATAATTATATTTAATAATTGTCAAAGTAAGTAAAAATTCAAACTTCTTAACATTATCTTACAGCTGGTGATAGTTCTTCGATATGTTCTAATGAAATGTATTTGGAAGTGAGTTATGATACCCGATGTCAGTCGGATCCTCTGCGACTCACAAAACATGCCAGAATCGTAGGAATGAGTGTTTGTCCAGTGACGGAATGTCGAGTGGCACTCCTGGTCAGTGACGGCCGAATTGTTCTGTTGGAGTTGCATGCCATAAAGCATGTATGCTGCTGTTTTACTATATACATTACAAAATATTGAATGTCTTCTAGAATTTTATAAAAGTGTTTAAATGAATATTAAACACATTTATTATAAGATTCTTAAAGTGTTTTCCTAGTTAAAAATATATTTTATTATTACAGCCAGTAGGAAACAACTGTGGGATTCCGTTATCTCCACTATATACGCCAGGATTAAGTGAATCGTTAGAAACATTTGAATTGCCCTCTTGTGAAAGTATCGATAATATAACTTCCATTCCATTACCTACTAAAACACCTTATCCACGGATGACATTAGCAGATAAAATTGGTTCTGCCAATTCTCCGGTGGAAAATTCTAAAAAGAATTGTTCGTCTGGAGTAACATTAAAGATGTTACTGACTGGTATGTTTGGTGGATTGGCACCTGTGCCGCACGTCATTCGTATGTGTCCTCCTGTTACATTTCGAAATTGGGCAGCTTACCATCCTTTACTAGCAGTTGGTATGTTTCTATAACATTTCTTATATTAGTTTATTCATTTATTACATATTATATATAAAAATCATGGAAATGAAATCATAAAGATTCATTTAAATTTAAATTTTAGGAAATTCAAATGGCAGTGTTCAAGTATTTAATATGGCTACAGGTATGACTGAAAGGGAATTCAGTTTACATACTGCTCCTGTAAGGTACAAAAGAGTTTTTGATGTGTAAACATTGAGTAACAAAGCTAATAGAGTAATAATTTATTTTAAAATATTAATATTATTATTTTAGGGGTATCGAATGGATTAGTCTAACATCATTTCTGTCTTATGCTCATCCTAACTTGTGCAATAACATCGGACAAGTTCGGAATGAATTAGTATTCACAGACTTTCTTTCTGGGAGGACGCTTTCTCTTCGTTCAGACAGAAATGAAGAATCTCCAATAGAGATGTTAAGAGTGTCGTATCTCAGGTAAAAAAATTAACTGTCCTTGATACAATATATATGTTGTTTCAAGATGAATGCTACCATTTTAAATTATTGTAATTGTGTTAATTATTACTCAAGAATTATGTAACATATACCAATTGTTCAGTAATTGTTCAAGTTTCATCTCTCTTCTGCATTCAAATATCTTATCTACACCTTTAGAAAGTGCCATTAAGCAAAAATGGTGACTCCATAACATAGAAGACATTTTGTTTTGTGAAGGCAAAAACCTAGCTTAGAAAGTCAGAATCCCTCATTATTGTGCAACATGAGTAATCTGCAGGAGCTGTAGAATTGTGGCTTTTGTTGGAGGAGTGACAACAGATAGGCCATAGTGTGTATAGGAAGAATTTGAGTGTCAGTTGAATGTGTGCCATGTGACACAAGGTGCACACATTGAGAAATTGTAATGGTCAAATGTAAAACTTGACCACTTTTCCAATGTTTTAATGTACATTACAATGTTTTTGGATAATAATTAACTTAATTACAATAATTTAAAATGGTGGAATTCTTTTTAGAAGACTCTCTGTAAAGTTTTGTTTGATAAAGAAATGACAAGAATTAAAATATTTTAGACAGTATTTTATTGTGGTATTTAAAGAAGAACCATTTGAATTATGGGATGTACATACTTTAACTCTGTTACGTACAATGCCAAAAAATTTTCCCATAATTACTGCACTGGTAAGTATTATATTTATTAAACAAAAAATGTAAGTTACTTTAAAACAAAATTATTAATATTTTAAAATCTATAATTAGTCGTGGTCTCCTTTGCACAAAAAACCAGATAAAGGAAAAGAAGTGGAAACCACCGATTCGATTTCTTCTTTACCAGATATGCCACAGTAAGTATTGTGTTATTTCTTTGTAATATAGATGTATAGAAGATTTATGGATACTGAGAAAATGAGCATTATTTTTTATTGGTTTACAACATTTAAGTTTAGTTTACATTAGTGAAGTAATGTAGACTTAATTGGTAGAATAGAGAGGCAAGTCAAGAAAAGCATATTCACTTGACCAGTAAAAGCAGTTGAGTAAAGGGCAAGTCAAATGGTAGAGGAGACAGACAGTAGCTCATCCAGTTGTCCATAAAATTCAAGGTAACTTCCAACTTCACTCATGCAATATTTCATCTATCATTTGAGTGTCTTTATGGATTTTAGGAGCAACCTTATATCCACAAACATTTCATGTTTTTTGCATTCATTTCATTCATTCACATTCAATTGAGTCATCAATAAACATATTGTATATACCTAACATCCTCAGCTGCAAGTTCCTTGAGAAGTGAAGATGTGGTCTCTTCTTCCTATCCATTTATGTACCCACAACTTTTTCTCTTAACTCTTTCCTCCTCAATGACATCATGAACTTCATCCAATATAACATTATAAATTCTTGGCCAAAACTTTTTCTTTAATACAAAATACAGATGGTGCTGGTCCATACCCAACATTTTATGAGCAACTGTCTCTGCTGTTGTCATAATAAAATAATGTCTAAACACTAATGAAAAAATTGGAGTCGAGTACTGAATGAGTTACTTGTCTAATGTAAACTAGGCCTTAGAGATTTCAATATAACATTTTATTTAACAAAAATGATTTTGAATTTTGATTTATAGCCTAGATATTCCTTCCTTGACACACTATTGCACTTACATATAAGAGGAATAAAATTTACAGAGAACTTCTTTTTACCTCTGTCCTTACTCTTATAAATTTCTGTTTGTATTTTTGTCTACTACCGTGTTTATAAATATGACTTATTATACTGGTGTAGATTTTGAGTAGCAAAGAGAGAAAGTCTTAGTCAAAAGTCAAAACAATATCTTTACTTTCACCTGTATGCTTTTTTTGTGTGTTTTGGACCTGTAGACCTCTCTTCAGCAGGTTTACAACATTCTATAACAATTGTGTAAAAACTTTTTAAAACAATGATATTACACTCAACAGTATTTGAGATAAGATAAAATTATATTTTTTTTACCATTACTGGAAGGAAGTCCTGTAATGTTTTGCACAGTGAGGTGGATGAGCAGCCTCTAATAAAAGGTCGACTCTTCTGTAAAAGTGTTATTTTCCTGAGGTGTGAGAAAGGACATCGAAAGACTCATTATTGTGTAGTCTTAAACTGTATATTAATTTTACTGTCCAATATTAATACACCAGTAATACTGACATAAAGCATCAAAAAAACAGAGCATAACATACTTAACATAATGTTTTTTAATTTACACCTGTATAAAATAATAAAACTATTAAAAAATTTAAGTTTTGTACAGAATGTTAAAAATTCTTTATTCACTGATGTGGTTTGACTGTTTTTTCGGTTTGATGTCTTTTCATATTCTTATTTATTTTTTCTGTTATCTTTTCCACTGTTATTTCTGTTTTAAATACTTTTCTACCCATTATGCTTTCTATAAATGAAACTGTTCCATGATTGTTGACTTTCTTTTCCTAAATTATCATTAATTCTATTATCTCATTTTTTTTATATATGTTCAAATACAGTCGACCCCCCTATAATTACGATTCCTATAAAACTACGAAAAAATTGCTACCGGTATCCGTAAAAAATAGTAAAAGTTCCCTATAAACACCTCAAACGTCATAGGGCAGCCGAACTACTTTCCCGCCGTCCGTAGCGCCACGCTACGGAGAGATTTCTATCGTCTGGACAGTATTATATAAATTATATATAAATTAGGTACTTTATATATAATTATATATTAACTTATTGTAACTTTGTTATAATTAAATATATAATTTCTGCCGTCTAGCATGGCGCCACGCTACGGAGATTTTTACGCTAACTATCGTCTGTCAGTATGTAAATTAGGCACCGTAAGTCTAATACAGTACTGTAATTTTATACATTTCTTGTGAAAGAAACATTTCTTATTCAACGGCGATTAAAATTATTTATATTAATGATGTCTCCGAAGTTCAAGGAACTATTAGCAGAAAAATAAGTTATTAGAAATCGGCCGCGGTTTGGTGAGCTGTTCCGCGACTAAAACAATGTTGAGCAATGGCGATATCGAATGGTGACACTCGGTAAGTAATCCTACAATTTTTTATTTATAGCGTAGTTTATACGGATTATTTCCAAAAAATATATACGTGTTTTGGAAATGTTGAGTCGGATTAGTCTAGAATCGATTAATTTTATGGAAGAAAATCTTTCAAACAGCCGTAGTCCGTAAACTTGATACGTGTCGGGTTGTGATTGGAAGGATTCGTAAGAAATCGGATTCCTAAAGAATGGAACGTATCTCTATCTTATAGGGGGGTCGACTGTAATTGTCTTTTAAATCCATTTATTTCTTTATTAAGACTTTCTCTTTTTGTTAATCAGAAACTACACTAGTATAACAAACAAGGTATTTATAAACAAGCTTCAAGCAGACAATATAGAAACAAAAAAATAAAACATTAAGGACATAGAGGTAAAAAGAATTAATTGTAGAGAACTGTTTATTTAAAAACTGTGACCATTTACTTGGAAGCACTCAAACAAAACAATAATAATTTTGAATTAAATTTAATGAAAATAATTTCTATTTCTTTCAGATCTCCAAAATCAAACTTGCCTGTTAAAGAACACATCGTTTTTACCGACACTAATGGTCAGTTGTATCATTTTACCATCGAGGGAAATGTCGTCAGAGATGGATCGAGAATTCCTCCTGATGTAAATCTTTATTTTGTATTTTTGTTCTTTTTTGGATCAATTTTAAGTAAAATACTTGTAGGCTGGTATGGGGAGTATCACTGCCATTGTGTGGAAAGCAGATAAAATAGTATTAAGTGACGTCGATGGTAACTTGAATCTATGGGATATAAAATGTAAGATATCTAGGTGAGTATTGATTTTACATGCTCTATTTTAAGTTAATAATGATTTTTTAACAATGATTACACAATGAAGATTTTTTTACTGTTTTGAGTAATGAATATTTAAATCCAGTACTTTGGTATCCTACAGTAAAATCTGTCAAACTATATATATTTCTAATTGTCATTCAATATTTTCCCTGAAAATCCCTGCTTAAAAGTAAAATGCTTCTTAAATTAGAAGTTATCTTAAGCTTGAAGCAATATGATATGTAGTAGTAGTAGTTAGCTATCAAGTCCTGTTATAAGCAAGATTCCTGACTTGTTGCATTGCAAATCATCATATAAAAAATTCAATCCAATTTGATTTTTTAAAATTAAATTATAAAATAATAAATAAATAATCACTTTTTGTTTACAAATTTTTAAAAATTTATTTACATTTTTTATTTCATATAGTCGAATTCCCACACACAGAGGTTGGATTAAAAAAATTCAGTTTGGTCCTGGAAGAGGTAACATGAAGATATTACTCTTATATAATGATGGCGTCGATTTGTGGAACGTAGACGATGTAAGTATGATTTATGAGATATTTAAAATAAAATTATTTATTTAGTTAGTTAAATTATTCTCGTTAGGCTACTTTAATAAGCCAAATAAAATGCCCGCACGACATGCCGAGAATTCAAGACATTGACTGGGCGAGTTCCGATCGTCCCATTCTGGCAACTTCTGACGGATGCATTGTTGTGACTGACATCAATTTAAAACAGGTCACTTCAGCAATAATTGATTATCATCCAACTGGTTTGTGGAATACTTTAATTTCTTGTATGCTTAGTTATTTTAATTCCTTTCTTTACAATAATTGCCTTCCGACAGATTTCCCATTCTGTCCGCAAATCTTATCGACTAAGGCAGCTCTCAATCTGAAATGCATGCTGCAGCACCAACCGTGGAAACAGTTTTATAGCTTAAAATTTAATACAAGCGACGGATTTAATAATGACGATTTGTTTCTCCTGGAGAAATTAATGGAATCTGTCGATGACGAAGTAAAGAATTACCTCCAGGACTGTCAGTTCGGAGTTGCCGAACGATGCCTTCATGTCGCAAGGTGTTAAAATATTTTAAATTAATTATTGTTTACAGAGCAAATATTTTAAAATTTTACATTTCAATAGGCTTTTTGGAGATGAGGACGGATGTAAATTTTGGTCTGTTACACTTCATTATTTAAAAAGTAAAACATTTAAGGTATTTTCTTTTTTAATTGTTTTAATGTAAATCAACTTATACTGTAATTGTTTTGAATAAAACATTATTGATATCTGTTAAGAATGCAGAGGAGAAATCTCTGACAGAGGATAAAGATGGAAATTTGATAGTGGGATCATTTACTGATCAACCACTTGATACCAGCTATGATATTCTGTGCGACAATCAAAGCTTTAGGGTAATCAGTTTTATTTTTAGTAAAACAATATTATAATTTCCAGTTAATTACATGGAAATTAGCATTCCTTTTTAGCAGAATTTAAGCTTAATTTAAAAAAATTTTAACAGAAATTACAATTAGATAGAGTGTTATTGCACGACGTGAAACGCAGCACGTATGCCCAGACTCAGAAATGTGCAGAAACTCTCGTGTTGTTGGGGCAGACCGAAAGAGCCGTACAATTGTTGTTGGAGTCGGAAGCAGATAACGACGGATTTTACATCGATTGGTTGAGGTATTTGCTACGTCGTTAATACTTTAACGTAAAATTATATATCCGAAGTAAATGAATATTTTATAGAGCATGTCTGATAGCAACAATACAGTCTTCGGGAGCATCGCAGTCCGTCATTAAACTGGTGGCCACAAATCTTATCGCCAGCGGTAGAATATCCGAGGGAGTTCAACTTCTATGTCTTATCGACAAGGCACTGGATGCCTGCAGATACTTACAAAGTGCAGGACACTGGGACCAAGCCGTCTGGTTGGCTAAGGTTGGTATGGCGATTAATTTCGACCATACCAACCTTACATAACCAACACAAAATTAAAATATTCTTAGGCATCTCTGAATCAGCAAGAGTGTTTAGAAGTACTAAAACGATGGATCGATCACTTATGTACTCCACAAGTAAATCAAAGGGTAAGAAAATTAATATTATAATCACTTTACTCACTTTTTTAAGTTTAAATTTTTAAAACTGCATTTTAAGGGCAAGGCAGTCACGGTTCTGATTTCTCTCGGCCAATTTTGGAAGGCAATCGAGATGCTTCACTCATTGAAGATGACAGAACGTGCCGCAATGCTGCTACAGGCCTGTCGGGAGTTTGGGATAGTGACGAAGAACGAAACGACTTATATCCTTTATAACTCTACTAGAATTTTTTTAACGTTCATAGTTTATTAGTGTTAATCCTTGACGTTCCACCCTCGACGATAGATGCCGTAATGCTGGACTACGCCAGATACCTGCTGTCGATTGGCAACCATTTTGCCGCATCCCACTTTTGCACGGTTGCGGGCGAAGTGGGGCAAGACCTGAAAAGAGAGATCGAAATACTGTCGGAAGACACTTGAACGCTTTCGCACTACGTATACGAAAATTTCTCCATCGGTTACGGGAAGAACGTAACGATTACGTGCACCAAAATTATGAATATCCGCAATATAAATGTATATATGTTGTTACACGAGCACGATAGGGATCGTGTTTTTAAGTTATGCACGGAAGGGAACAAGCAGAATCTTGACTCAATTTTAATAAACGGGATACAAATTTGTATATAATCGAGTTAAACAATGTATACATATCTGAGAGCATGTAAAAAAAGTAATTGTTTTACATGATACCAAAATACATTTGTGATTGAGAAAGATTTGTTAATTGTGAATGTTTCGTGATTAAAACATTCCAAATATATATGTTTAAAAGATGTACAAAAAGTTTATAAAATAAATTTTCTTTGTTTTTATTTCTTTTATCTTCAATTTTAAGTCATTTCTACGAGATTTTACAATTTAAAACGTTTTTAAATTTAAAATTGCTAATTTTGCCCGAAGTGTGTCGCTACAGTCGCATTTATTCGTATTTCCGCTATCGCGAAATTCTAGCCAAACTATATAAAACCGAAAACGTTTCGAATTTTATTAAATTCTAAGTTAAAAATAACCGAATTTCATTTCAAAAAATAATTATTCGTACACGGGCGAATAAGAGAACCAATTTTTAACCCCAAGGTTCTAGGATCTTGACTTAACCCGACAGAACGTCGCCATTTTCCTGTTTTCTTGCTTATATTCTAATAGTACAGAAACCGAAAACGTTCTAATTTTTTTTTTAACTCCTAAAATTAGAAAAAAAAAGTAATGCAAAAATCGTAAATAAAATAAAGGCAGTGAATTAATTATAAATTTATTAATTTAAAAAAAAGTTACTGTATACACTATATATATACATACATATACACGCGAATAACCAAATGCCAATTCAGTCCGGCAGGGAGCGCACGTTACGATGTTTGCGTTTTTTTATCGTTTGGTTTTGTTATTTTTTATTTTTTTATTTTTACTTTACGCGGTTTGATCGGGTAAGTTAAGGAACGCGAGGAGAGGGAGGTTATCGATGTTCTCTTATATATTTATCATTTAAAAATGGAGTTGTTGATGAGCAATGATTACTTTATACTCGTCGACGGATTGCACAGTTTATGGTGTAGCAGAATCGACGGAAAATTAACTGCAAAGAAAGGTAAACTCGATTCATCTTTAAGCTTCTTTCCTTCTCCTTCTACTGTAAATAATTGGAATATTTCGCGATTATCGGCCTTCTCCTTCGTTTTCTTGACCTACCGGCCTATAAAATTGATTAAAATTACGCATTTTATTCAATTTTTTTTTTACCAGAAACGCCGGTTTAAATGGGAGAGAACGCGTAATCCGTGTAGGAAATTAATTGTAATTAAGCGGGGAAGGGTTGCGAGTATTAATTATAATTAAATGGAGGAAGGCTGTTGGAGAGAATTGTGATGAAATGGGAAAGGATTGTGAGGAGTTAATTGTAATCAAATTGTGGAAAAAGACTGTGGGGATTAATTGTGATTAAATGAGAAAGGATCACGAGAGTTAATTGTAATCAAGTGAGAAAAGGCCGTGGATATTGTGATGAAATGAGAAAGAGCTGTTGGGATTAATTATGATTAAGGAGGAATTGTGAGGATTAATCATGATTAAATGGGAAAAACGTGATAGTTATAATTAATTGAGGAAGAATTGTGAGAATTGTTTGTGATTAAATAGGAACAGGTGATGGGAATTAATTGTAATTAAACGAGGAAGTATTATAGGAATTCATTATAAGAAAGTGAAAGTATTGTAAGTTAATGAGAAAACTAATAAAAAAAATGTAATAATTTTGTAATTATGTAGCAAAATATTTATATAATAATAATTTTATCTTGATAGTTCTTCAGCTGGAATATTATGTATATAAATGTTTATAGACCTAGATCTGATGCTGCTGATCTGTATCGGGATAGCATAAACACAAATCCTGTATGATTAGTTAACTGGAAATTATCAACATTGGGTTGTGGCCATGTTTTTATGCTATTTATCATAAAATCAGCATCGTTATTGTGATAAAAATACAAAAAAGCTTCATACAGACTTGAGTTATATAACCAAAACAGGTTTGTATGTATGTATGTATGTATGTATGTATGAATGAATGAATTTTTGAAGATATAATTTAATGAGTTAATGTAGGTATGAATATGTAAAAAGAATAAAAAGTTACTCATTATTATTTGCTTTAGTTCGTTTAAGCGGGCCTTTTCTGGCCTCCAGTTTAGGTGCAGAATAAATGCTTATACTGTGTGTAAACATTACTTACCTGTACTATATCTGTGTAATGATTATACAGAGTTAGACAAAATGTATATTCTGATTTGGTTTACATAATTCAGCAGCATTGTTGATGCATGTACAGCATACATACTTGGGTTGGATGAGGAAGAAGTGCTGTTAATAATCATGATGTTGTGGTCAGCAGAATATTGTGTGTTTACCATGGAGATTTGCTTTAAAAATAATGAGTCTCCCATTACTCTCTCATCATCATCCTCATGCTACTTCAGGTGGGGACATCATGACAAAGTCCTCAACCATCAATTATAAGATGATGAAACAGTTCTGTAGCACAGTGTTGTGTCATAATGGAAAAAGCACTGGCCATCCAAGAACATGGCAGCCTCTCTACAGGTGCAGGAGGTCTGAAATGGGCTAATCCAAAGTCCTCAGTAATTGGCCATCAGGCACATCTTAGCACTAGAAATGTCGCATTGTTCCCTGCACCACATCATCTCAATGACCTGCATTTTCATCCTTAAAAATATTATTATTTAAACAAAAACTATCTTAAAATAACAGAAGAAAAAACTGAAAATTTTAGATTAAAATATATTTTATACTAGTCCTTATATATAAATACTAGTCCTTTCAATGATGTATTAACATCTTTATCAAACTCTTGGAGCATATTATGAATATCAAACATTATATTTGTAAATTAAAATTGCATTCAATTTTTTACAAAATTATTTCTAACAATTACTGCCTCATCTACCTTTTCAAATTTAAATCAAATCCTCCACTGTTCTTAATTCTGCAATGATTACCTGATACTTGATCTTCATTCAAATCATATTAATCTTTAATGCCTTTTAAATTTTTGATATTTTTTCCACCAATTTATTTATATAAGCCCACAGTAGCCAAACTGTGGCTTGCAAGACACATGCAACTCTTCTAGACCTTTATTTTGATTCCCGTATACTTATGCAACTTATTTTTATAAATTTGTAAATACTATTTACAGATGTATAATATTTTTGTAAGTTTTCTGACTATGAAGTAGTATAATATACACAGAGATTACAAGTTACACTTACAATCTCCGTGCATATTATACTACTTCATAGTCAGAAAACTTACAAAAATATTATACATATGTAACCTCAAACAGTCAACTGAAAGCTTGGGTGCACTCATAAAATGCAAGGAGTTAAATGAGCATTTACTTAATCAGTCAGATATAAAGTACCAGTAATGTAACAGTAATATTTACTGATAATTGTAGTAGTTTAATTATATATAATAGAGGATGCAGCTCTATTTCTGATAGGTTGTGTATGTCTCCTATCGTGACAAGGTTTCACCATCCCTGGTATAAGTCATTTTCATGCCAGTGACAATTTCCACATTGTTTACATTAATTTTCAACAATTTCTACATCCTTCTTTTTGCAGGCTCTCTTCATAAATTTTTAATTTACAAAAAGAATCTGAATTAAAAACATGGAGAATTTAAATTTTAAAAAAGGCATTCAAAATAGAAGTAACATTCTGTGGAGTTTGGAACATCGAAAGTTTTTCATTTTTACTCTAAAGATGGATGAGATGTTTCCAAATATTGTTAGTTTTAAAGTTGATTATAGAAAATTTTGTAATACTCTGAAGAAACATTTATTTATTGTAACTTTACATGAAACTAGTATAACAGTAGTTGAATTTTAAGTTTAAAATGACTTATATAATATAGAATGCATGTAAATGATGATATAAAAAGAATGTTTATCACATACTGTTTCTGCATCATCATCATCATTTATATATAGTAATTATGAGATATTTTGATCCTTCACAGTAATCTCAAGTATTTAACAAAATGTTTTTGTGTTTACACACTGATATGTATAGAGATATTCTGTAAGAATATATCTTTTAAGTGTTTTTTGAACAAGAACAAAGCAAAGAATGTTATAATTATTCAAGAAATAAAAATTACAATTATTTGTTAAACATAATTTTAAACTATGGGATGATTTTTAGGCTAAATTAAAGCTATTTTTTTAACTAATTAGATCATAGAATTTTGTTTAAAGATAGCCAGTTATGCTCCTCAATACAGCAATTAATATAAACCATAGTTTATATTAATTGCTGTGGTTTAGTTTAGAGTGTCAATAAAGTGTCAATTTGTTGAAATACTTTCTAAAATTGTCTCTAAACTATGGCACATAGTTTAGAGACAATTTTAGAAAGTATTTCAACTAATTACCAATTATATTTCATAAAAATTTATTTTAAAGTTTCTATGGTTTTTATTTTTATTTTGATGTATCGAAAATATAAGGAAAAATGCAGAAAATTCAATTGTTAATTGTTAAAAAAATGACAGAAAATTGTCTTCCTAAGTTGACATTTCTCTATTTGACAGAGATCAAATTTTTCTATTTTGTCTGAAGTTTAATTCTGCAATTAAATGACAAATGACAATTCAGGTAAATAGTCAAAATGACAGAATTATGATGTCATAAAACAAAATAATAAATAAACAAGTTATGACATTATTCTAAAAATAAGTAAATGTTTCATCCCGATGTTGATCTGCTTTAAAATATCACATTATTTAGTCATTACTCATTTATCTAATATTTATATTGGCAGGACTGTTAGAGTTTTAATTAAATATATTATAAAACAGATGATGATGATATGAGAATTTTTTAATTAGGCAAGAATTATGATTAATACTATTTAAAATTGACAAGATTTATGTTTTAAACCATTGTTTGTTTTAAAAAAAATTATTTAGATGGAAAAATCAAGTTGACAGCTGTCAGAAAGAAAAAAATTAAGCATCTTTAATAGTAAGAGCTCTTTTTCTAAAAATGTTAAGACTTAGAAATTCTCAGATGTTTCCTTGACTATCAAATATTCGAGCCTGTTTTTGGCACGTCTGCAGTCAAGTTCCACATGTTCAACACCTGTAGGCCCATAAGAATATAAGTTGAGTTGAGAATGCTCGGTCTAAAGATATTTATAAACTATTTTCTGGGAATTTTATTTAAAATTCAGTTTGTGCTTTTATCATTTTTTCAAAATACAGTTTTTAAATGTTTTAAGAAATATTTTATTATTTTTTTAATACATTATATAAAGAAATTATTTAAAAAATGAATGATGCTGATAACAATCTTGTGTGCATGGATTAGCATACAAAAAAATTACAGATAATTGATGAAACGTTTGATAAGAGCTCTCGGAAAGGTTTCCAAGCAGATTATTGAAAATCGGATCAAATTCTAGGAATTTCAAACTGATAACAATCTCAACAAATTGCTTCTCATACTTCTGTATAACAAATCCAGATCCATTTATTGAATGTATCTAAATTGTAAATTTGGAAAGTATTGTGATAAGAGAGAAATTTAAATTAATTTTGAATCTGACAATAAGATGTTTATACATAAAAATGTTAATAAAAATCTTTTAAATTTGTATTTTCAGCATCTCAAGTTTCCAGCGTACATAGTCCAGTGTGTTTGGGAGTAGTTTATGGAGTAATAGGAAAATTTCAAGTTCATTCAGGTATGTTTACATGGCAAATTATAGTTTTTCTTATTTCCAATTAGGAAAATAAGAAAATTTATTTTGCAAATATTAAAATTTTAATCCAGTAAAGATTCAAAGATGTGTTGCCATGCAATAATTTTAGAAAGAGTTGGGTTGTTTGTCTTCTAAAAGTCAATGGCTTCTGCAAGGTGCAAAAGTAAATATTTTTATTGGCAATTTACCATTAATTAGCTGGTCTTTGTGCTTTACAAGTTCTTCCAAAAGAAAACCAGACCGATTTAAACAATTCCAGACAAACTGACCAGTTCATTCAAAATCATATAGTTTGTTATGGTCACAGGTTCCTGCTTGTAAGTGTTTGAAGAGTTAAGAAAAGATTGAAAAAATATGTAAAAAATGATAAGAATGTATTGTCTTACAAGGTCAGATGTTAGGTATATAATGTCCTTGGCTGTTGTTCCTTCCACATGTAATGGTTTTTTTCTATTGCATAATTGTTTTTATTGTATAAGGTTATTACAGTTGAGATAAATTAAATTATTGTTTATAATTTCTTCATAACATAAACTCATGCTCAAGTACATATTTATCAAAATTAATTTGAGAGTATCTAAAGAGAATAATGAATAATTTAATTGATAAAGTTCTTGTCAGTACATTTTCACATCAAAAATGGGCTATTTGTAAAATACAAGAATTGAAGTCATACGAGATGCATTTGTAATCATAGAAGGACAGTTGACTTTGACCCCAGTTAAGACGGAATTAGATATTTGTGATAGATAAGAGGTTAATTTTAGCTTAATCCATAATGATAATGTCGTGTGTGTGTGTACGGAAGTTTGGTAAAAATTTGCTAATAGTCATAGGATATTTATGTTATGATTTATCACTTGATACGTACAGTTAAATGCATTTAAAATCTTCAGTTTATAAAGGAAATGAATAAAAAAATTTTTTTTAATTCTATAATTTGTAGAGACGTTAACGGTGTTACAGTAATTTATGTAAACATTACTATTCTAGATTACAGAAATATACCAATTTCATTAATATTTTATAAGTTTCTATCAAACTGTTGGCACTCATTCAAATAAATATAACAACAAAAATATGTAATTTTTATATAGGAAACAGGAAATTGAATAGCAGATAATGTGTAGGTAGTAAGAGCTATTGTTTCCTTCTTTCAATTGTAATTTATGCGTTATTTTTTTGTCATAAAAATGTCTTGTGAAACAGGGACAAGGAAGAATCGAGGCCGAAATAGCAAAAGGCAGGTTTTAAACTAGTAAATAAAATGAATTTTCATTAACAAGAAAGTTTTTTATATTTAGATAGTTATTTAGATATTGCAGAATACTATACAAGAATAGGAAGAGTAGAAATTTATTTTAAAAAAAAGAAAGCAAATTAGAAGTATAATTTAATAATTTTTTTTTTTTGAAAAATGGTAGAATATCTACACTGGAGTACTGTAACAAATGCACATCTCTATAAATCTTTAACCAGTGCATTCCGTTAGGGGATCATTACCTGAAGAAGAACCATAACGGTTCGAAAACGTTTGTAACTTTATTGTATAGTGTGATGAAACGCGTACTGGTAAAAGGCCTGTAGAGATGTGCATTTTTTATTTTATTTTTTTATAAGTCACAGTTTGAGAGTTTAAATGTAATATTTTATTTTCAAGCCATTTATATGATTGTTTACTTTTTCAGACAAAACAGAGTTTGTTAACCTAAAACACAAACAATCACTTAAAAAGTTGTCATTTTTTATCATCAAAGATCTCTTGTACAAAAATATATGGATTATTTATGAAACTACAGTATAGAAATTTCTGTAGAGAAGCTAAAAATACTTTAGTGACTTCAAAGAATTGATGAATTAGTTTCTCTTTATACATTCTTTGAGCTAATTTTATCCAATCTTGACACATTTGGTGAAGTTCTTTCTGGAGTATGGAAGGATTTAGCACTCTTCCATTAATCTCCTTTCTGCCATTTTATGATATTTTGATCATTTCTTAGTTCTTCTCCCTGTCATCATCTGTTTTCTAACAGTTTTCTCTATCCTACCTGTTTGATTTTGATGCATTACAAACCAGAATATTTGAGTTTGTCTTTAAAGTAAGTTTTAGAATTTAGATCCTGTTTAAACAACAAAGTAAATACATTTATAATCAAAAATGGAGATTTGTGATGAAGTGCAAACATATGAAGTTTTATATTTTCTGTAGTTTCTTCATTCTCTAATTAATTAATTTATTTTTAGAATCGTTTTTAATTTCATAAATAGTCTGGTTCATCTGTTGAATGACTCCGTTGACTTTTAATTCTTGGTTAAATGAATTTAAAAGGAGTAAAGTAAAGATGTTAATAGTTAATGTTGGAGTTTTATAATCAGAAGCTTTAAAGTAATCAATAAAAATGTATTATTTATAGAAGCTTATTCTAAGCATTTCTTTTTATTTTTTAAATGTCATATATAGGAAATTTTTAGAGTTTTTGAATAAAGGTAAGAATGTCAGTTTAAAATCTTAATTCTTTATAGAAAATTTAAACTTTACTGTTGTTTTATTTATTTATTTTTGTATCATTGCATTTCCAAGATATTTCCACTCCAGAATAAACTTTTCTGAACTGAATATTACTTTTGGCAAGTGGGATTGAGTCAAGGGAGCTGTTGCATTTGATGCCAGATTAGTTTCCAATTTTTTTCCATGCTAGAATGGTGAGTGGTTTCAATAGTTTTAAACTATTTTCAGCATTTTAATCCTTGTGCTGTTCTTTTTCTTCTGAGAAAATATTCGTTAGGTGCTTTATGTTAATTAAGAAACATTATAACTGTGAAGACTTATATTCTTCTTTTTATTGTAGTTAACTTTTGTTTGTTTGTACCAATCAAAGAAGCACTAGCATAATCTGTCACATTTTAGGTCATTAATGAGTTTAATGACTAGAAAGATCAATGCATCAATGGCATTGTTCAAAGATGAAAATTGATCTTTCATTGTTCTCGTCCTCTCTTAACAGCTCGTAATTATGTTTAAATATAATCTCTCTTCTCTTTTTGTAGGGTTTTGTATTTATTTTAATATAATGGCATCCCATTTATAGAATATAGAGGATTATAATTAGACAAAAATAGAAAGATAAACAGAAGTGTACATATACAATCAATAGTTTTCTATATAAATTGAGGAGGATTATAGAGGATTATAATTAGACAAAAATAGAAAGATAAACAGAAGTGTACATATACAATCAATAGTTTTCTATATAAATTTATAGCCAGAAAGGCTGAGTCACATTTTAAAATTAAAAATATCGACATCTTCAATGCATAAATGTCTCTTTTCAATCTAAAAATGCACAAATAATGATTGTAATTTGTTATCTTTCTTCCTTTTCCTCATCTGTTATATAGATTTATTTAAATATATCCTTTCCGTCACTATCAGAAAATGTCAGGTGGAGTCTAGGAAACCATTTTTAAATGGCCTTATCATTATTTTATCACAGAATTCTTAAAAATTGAAAGTTCCTAAAATTATGAGTTTGCCATAATCTGTATATTATTAACTATCGCTTGTATAGAAGTACAGGTCTGAGGGGACATTTGATAAAAGCTGCAATTTTCCTCTGCCTGACGGCATTGTTTATTCGAGCTCATGCTTTCCTCCTATGTCAAGGAAGTTAAAAGCTGGTAATATTCAATTATTATTATGTTTTTTTTTATTCTCTGCTTTCAGGATAAAATTATCCTGAAAGAATTTAGGTAATTCTTATATTAAAAGATGTCAATTATGTTTGTATAAAAGTATAAAGAAAATATAATAATTGTGTTTTTGAAAAGCTTAATTTTAATAATTCTTGTTTTTTGGTTTCTTCTCATTCAAATGTTGTACTTAGTTTAATTTCTCCATCTTATTTTTTTACAAAAAATAGGAATTAGAAGGAGAGAGGGAGAAATTTCTCCTCGGAAAGGCTTGCTCACGGAAGTAGTTTCCATGGAGACGTTGCTTTATTTTAATTTTTAAATTAAAACTAAAAAATAAAAAAAAAATTACATATTTAAATTCATAATTTTCTTTTATCTTAAGTGAACGTTTTATATTTCTTCTCTTTGCATTTTTAACTTTATTTATTAAGCATCTTTCTTCCAAATTAAGTTATTATATTCACTTTGGTTAATTAAATTTATCATTTTTTCTCTTACTAAATTTAATTTTATTTGATTAAAATATTTTTGATAGCCTATAAAATTCAACAACATACCTGTAACTCAAATTTTTGTTTATTTATTTATTTTTTATGGATTCGGGTCGGTGAAAAATGGAATTGCGTGATTCTTTCTCTCCGCTTTTTTCGTAATTCTGAATTAATCAATTTTTGGCAGGAGGCCGGAAATAATTTATAAAGCTTTTAGGCAGCATATCAATGTCAGTTTTTATTTTTTTGAATAGTTAATTAAATTTGGGATAATAGAAAAAATAACTAAAATTTTGCATGATTGCTCTTATTTAAGAAACTTTCAACACTCTAAGTGTGGGTATAAATGCATGTTTTAATTTTTGTCAGAGAATGACATGCTTAGTTTCTCTAAAATTCTATTTATTTTGTATTTTTTCTAATGGAAAGAAAAAAACAGGAATGAAGAGGCAAAAAAAACTACAAGAATAATTGATCACACTGTTTTTCTTACTGAAAAAAAAGCAATGCTTAATTTTTTTCTCTGTGATGTGAACTAGTATTCTGTTCTGGGAAGAAATTTTCATCCTTGTTATGGTGATAATTCTCCAGGATTAAACTCTTAATGTTGGGTTTTATATTATAAATGGACTTATTGGCAAGGCTCTCATCTATTCCAAACCTTGATTATAAAAGATGTTTACGGCAGTCTTTACCATTTGGTGATCCATATACCTTGGGGTCTAGGCAACCAATTTGAGTTCCACGGCATCACATAAAAACCCCAACTTTTTAAAATGCACTCGGTTTTATAATGCT